AAAAAAGCAGGATATTTTACTTTGAAATGTTATGAGACTCCTCAATAACTTAGTCATCTCCTTTCACGGTTCCCTGCACCATCTTGAAAGGTTGCCGCGCCTTTACATCGAAGCGAGACAACTGTCGAATGTGCAATGATAGAAACCTGTGAATATTTGTCTGTAGGTATGAAAGAAGGTTTCTGTCATTACACGCTCAACAGTTGTCTCGCTATGATGCAAAGGCACGGCTACATGTACCTTCCAAGATGATGCAGGGAACCGTGAAGAAGATCACTTAATTGCTCAGTAGAGTTGACAGTTGATTTTTTGAAAAAGAAATAGAAATCAAATGACAGAAATCCTGTTTGCAGTCAAACAATTTGACTTTGAGTTCCTTTTACAAAGATTTTTGTATTGTTTTAGGTAGCTGAGGTTCAGAATGAAGAAACTTCAACAGGTGGGTGACAATTGAATTGAATTACGTTAGACATGTCTTATATTAAAATTAAAAAAAAAATTGTATAAAATATATCGTTGTTTGGATATTTTACTTTGAAATGCAAATTTCTTTATGAGTAGACCATAGAAAATAAGTGGGCAACACATTGTATGGTATTTTGTATTAATTCTGTAATCTAGACTTGCTGGCTCTTCACATTGAGGAAAAATTGTCCACAGGTAAAAAAAATAAGTCCACCCTTTTTTCAGATCTGCCTTTTAAGCATTGCCTTTGTATATCTTTTATTTGAAGCACTATTCGAGAATATTGTGGTTTCCAAAAATGTTTTTTTTACTGACTGAAATGCTGGGAGAAGAGTCAAAGTTTAAAAAAAGGATGAATAAGTAGACCTCTTGTACTAATTCCTCACCAAATTACTCAAAAAATTATATAAAAACGATTGGTTTTTCTCATACAAGTTTTTTTTTTTCTCAGATTGCGAATTAGGACAAGAGGTCTATTGTGTGGAATGACAGTTGGGCTGCCTGTGGAGTTCTGTGATTTTAATATGCACTAAGTGTTTTTGGAATTCCTGTGGCACACTTTTTAAAAAGACTGAAAAAAAAGAAATGCATGAAAGAAA